TAACCCATATATGGGCTGATACCATATAAGGAAGGCTATGTAAATGAAGCATAAACATTTTTAACGCGATTTTGGACCCGTATCCGGGTCTGCTCAGTCCAAAAGAAGTTAAATAAAAAGCGCCCATCCATAAAAAAAGTGTCTCACATGGCTCCGTCGCAACGCCGACCTCATACGTCATCCGGCCGGAACTGCTTCCGTTTACAACAGTGAGCGCAAGCTAGATTAAATTGATTATTACGCTTTAAATATGGTTATTTTTCTTACAAAAACACATCGATTCGCTACAGGAGGACTTTGTTCACACCCTGGAGCTGTGTGAGACACTTTTTATTAAGGATGGGCGCTTTTTATTTAACTTCATTTGGACTGATGCACTGCAACACCTGCTGAGTGCCATTAAACAGCTTGAAAGATCAAAGACAATTTTTAATATAACTCCGACTGGATTCGTCTGAAAGAAGAAAGTCATATACACCTAGGATGACTTGAGGGCGAGTAATTTATGGGCTAATTTTCATTTTTGGCTGAACTAACCCTATAATAATCAGATACTAGTCCATATCACAATTTTATTAAGTGTACAGCCCTACTTTTGATTTATTCACTCAACATTCCATAACATTCCGCATTTTGTACAGTAAATTCCATTTTTATGTCTGAATTTCGTTATTCCGTCTACTTTCTCCTCACAGTGGAAATCATATGGCCATACTTGAGACGTGAGTGTTTAAACGTGTTAACTTATGGAAAGTCAATTGTTCTAGAGCAATTTTGCTCTGAATTATCTTGGAGTAATATGTAAATGACATATGAATATGTTAGTCAGTCATTACCATATTACCATCAAAGCACCTCCACAGTACTTGCTGTACTTGGAACACAGGTTGGAACACATCAGAGTTTTCTGAATGATTTTAGACAGGAAAACTCCTGCACTTACATCATGCTCTGGAGCTCAGGGATGAAGCTGGTGGTCTTTCCGGATGCGCGTCCGGCCGCGGTGCTGCTGCTGGCTGCCATTGGGCTCGCAGCACTGTTGCTCATCTGTAACACACACAACACACACTCAAAGCCTGAGCAATTAGAAAGCCACTTCACACGCAAAACGCTTCCTGATGCGTCCAGCGACAGGACGGGAAACACGCCACATGTTCAGAGCCGGACACGTTCAACCGGAATCAATGACAAACGCCGCTCAAAGAGAGAGAGAGATTTAGCTTTTTTAACATGCGAGACTGAATTATTTTTAATGGCCAAAGCAAGGTTGGTTAAACTACTGTAAGCAATGATTGATAAATGATCTTTTAGTTCAAAGGGAACCACAGACGAGTTTAAAATCTGTGTTTGTCTAGTGTTTACCAAATGTTTGATCTTACCAGCATTACATGGCATGATAAAAAAAAAAGTACATATATTAACATTTTAGCACTGAATCTGAACTGAAAATGCACCAATAACTTATGAAAAATGCATTTAAACACATTTACATATAAGGGTCAATATATAAATTTACCCACTAAAAGCATTATTATACAGTAATACAGTCAACCAATATGTATTTTAAAATGCTGATGCCATTTTAGTTGAAAACTGATTAGTGATCTAGACATATTTATTATATGCCCAACATTTTTTAATCTTAAAACTTTATACTACCATGTTTAAGTTTAAATTTAACTTTGAATCCCAGATTTCCAATGTGGACTTAGACTTATATATTAAAAAGAAATAATATAAAAAGAATTTAATAATAATAATAATAATATCAAATGTGTATACGTTTTGTGAATTTTCAGTATAAATAAAGTATATAATTTATACTCAATTCACAAAATATAATAATAATAATAATTGTTATTATTATTATTATAATTATTATTATTATTTCTTTGTTCAGTATAAAGTGACACATATATACATATA